CCTCTGCCCCGGCCGCCCCCGCACGCCCCGCACGTGCCAGGAGTCCCGGGACGGGCCCGGCCGAGAGCAGAGGGCGGCCCGGGTTTGGCACCTGGAGCCCCGCTCCCAGCCAGCGTCGCGCATCACAAGGACACACGGACCGCTTCCCGCCGGAAGGGATGCTCTGCCCTGCTGCCCCCGGGCGCCCAGGTGTAGCTGGAAGCTCTGCCTCTGCCCGCACACAGCTTTGCCAGCTGCAGCAATTGCGGGGCAGCCAGTGGAGACGGGAAGCCAGGGGCTGGGCCCTTGAAGACCACCCTGCCAGCGCTGCCCCCTGGGGCCCCGGGGCTGGAGGCTGCTTCCAGCAGCGGCCGGCCCTGTCGGGGCACGTCCCAAGGGAGCCCAGCCTCAGAGCGCTGCTCCTGTTGGCCAGCCGCCCTTGCTGCTCGGGGCTTTTCCGGCCGGGCAGCCAGACCTGGCCGGGTGTTCGGTCTCTGGCGGCGCACCCAGAGGGAGCAGCGACATGGCAAGGCGGGCGGGGGGAGCCCAGCCGGAAGTCCCGCGGGGGAGGCCAAGGCCCGGCTCGCGGCGCGCGGCTTCCGATGCTCCCTGGCTCCTCAGCCCCACAGGCCAAGCGCTGCTCCCGGGGCAGCAGAGGCGTCCCGCCTGTGCTCTTGCGAAGCGGGAAGGCCCTGCTGGGAGGCGCCAGGGGCCGTTCTGCCCAGCCCGCTCTCCGTGGCAGCCGCCCAGCGGCGCCGCTGGGCAGTGCCCAAGCGGCAGGAGGGCAGCCCCCTCCGCTAGTGCCCCCTGGCCACTGGTGCGCAGAGTCCTGCCTCTGGAGGTGCGGGGCCCCCCTCACTACGCCGCCGGCAGCCGGCAGAGGGCTTCCTGCAGCCCATGCAGTCGTCCCGGCGCCTGAGTGACACTTGAGTGACACGCTCCGCAGCAGAATCGGCTCCCTGCCGCACGCCCCCAGCCTCTCCCCTGGACATGATTCGTGCCAGCGGTGCCCTCGCGTCATTCGCGGGGGTCTGAGCCAGAGGGCCGCGCAAAGGCAGAGTGCAGCAGACATCAGAGAGTGCAGGATGCCGTCGGCGAGCGTTTTGCCCTTCCCGGACACGTGCCTTGCCGTCCTTGGCAAGGGGGCTCCCATGAGGAGCTCCTGCCCTGGAGTCCGTCTGGGGATTGGGCAGGCGACAGTAGCAGTGGTTCACTCGCTGTGAGAAACGGTCAGCTCGAGTGTCGTCAACAGGGTGCAGACTAAAAAGTCACCCTTCCTTGCGCGGATGGCATGTCGCCTGGAGTGCTCTGTAGGGCCTGGACGCCTGCAGAGTCTCACGGATGGCCGCTGATCCCTTCTCGCAGCTTCTGTGCGTAGTGCAGCAGCCGTGGGTTGGACCTGATGGACGCCATGGCCCCCTCCAAGTCCACTCTTCTATGATTCCGTGTGGTGGGATGAAGCCCTGCCCTGCCCTTCCCTTCGGGATGAAGGGCTCCCTTGCCGCTCCAGCCTTTCTCACCTGCTGCCCCAGCCTGTTTTCTCACCCTGCCCCTTCTCCCCTGCTGCCCTCCAGGCCTTTCGGGGAAGCGAAGCAGCCAGCCCTGCACTGGTCTTTTGGAGCAGGGAAACAAAAACATAGAAACAGCGCAAGTCAGAAGGGACCTCCGAGGCCATCTAGTCTGACCCCGGCTCCAGCCGGCTCCACTCACAACAAGCCCACCATGTGCACGTCCAGCCTGTCCTTGAACACCCGCACCGATGGGGCCTCAACCACCTCCCGGGGAAGCCCATTCCACACCCTGGGGGTCCTAACTGCCAGGAAGGGCTTCCTGGCATCCGAATGGAACCTTGGCTCCCTTGGAAGGACGCTGCTTGCTCACAGGCACGGTTACTTTCGAGTTGTGCACATGTTAAAAGCTGCAGCTGGGAGCACAACCACCAGGGCCTCCCTGCTGTGCTGGCTCTAGACTGGCAAATGATCCGCCAGCCACGCCGGGGGGGCATGCGAGAAGGCTGACTGTGGCCCAGCACCGGCAGCCCGCAGCCCCCCCCCCCCCCGAGGTGTGAGTGACTCCGTGCCTGGTGTGCTTCTGGCCCTGACCCAAACCGCGAGAGCCCAGCGCTTCCGCTGCCTCTCACCTGGGCAGCGGGTTCGGGTTCCCGGCACAGCACGCCGTGCCAGGCACGCTCAGCCCTGCTGCTCCGGCAGCTGCCAGTCTGCTCGCTGGCAGAGGCCACGCTCTGTGCCCCCGGGGGTGTGCGGGCCCCCGAGCAGCCCCGGCCCCACAGGAGACTCGGCGCAAAGCACCCGCCTCTTGCAGGTCTCCGCTTTCACCTGGCGCGGTCGTTTCCTGACTTGCGCTAAACTTCCGCTGTCCTTTGCCTCAGCACACATTCTAAAGGCCCGACCCGAACTCGTTACCAGGACCCTTCGGGCCAAACTGCTGTGCCACGATCTGCCTGGTGCACGGCACACCGGAGTGGTGCCTCCGTCGTGGCAGAGCGCCCGGGTCGTGTGGCTGGGCTGCCCGCCTCCCCCTTGGCAGAGGTGCCGGGCCTTTTCTCTGGCATCCGCCATACCAGCAACATTCTGCAGGTGATGCCCCCTTGCAGAAA